TTTATGCTTTACCTTGGACAGTAAGGTGGCCACCTTACTGTCCAAGGTAAAGCATAAATACCACCAGTAAAGTAGGGGATTGTGTAACACCACCTTATTGTCCAAGGTAAAGCATAAATGTCACCAGTAAAGTAGGGGATGATCTAACCACCACCACCTTACTGTCCAAGATAAAACACAAAGACAATCGTTGACGTATGGAATGATCTAACCACCACCACCTTACTGTCCAAGATAAAGCATAAATACCACCAGTAAAGTAGGGGATGATGTAACCACCAAACTGGTATGTGATTAGAAATTAGTGGTGAAATATTTACATTTATACTTTTATTCCAGGAAAACCTGCTAAAACTGACGTGCCGAAGAGTCCAGTTGTAATGTGACAAAAGAACATGTCGCCACCAAAGAAAAAGAAGAACATCCTTTAAGAAAAGAAAACCACTTATGCTAAGTTTGTTAAGAAACTAAAGCCTTTAATAATGCATGATATGAAAAAAGTTAACTTTACAACTGTAAGCTGAAGGATTATCATCTTACTTAATATTTCAAAGGATGTCCAATCTAATTGTCGAAAGAAGTGGACTCAAGAAAGTGTAGAAATATAGGATGATGTAACCACCATCACTTTACTGTAAAGTAAAATATAAAATTCATCGATGAATTAGGGGATGATGTAACCACCACCTTACTGTCGAAGGTAAAGCATAAACACCAGTAAAGCAGGAGATTGCGTAACCATTGCTTGTATGATAGTAAGCCTAATAAACCATGGTGCACATTTATAAACATAACATCCGCCAAACTCGATATTTAATTTTAAAAGTATTAAAAAAAATTTAATTTATTATATTAGTGCAAGCTCATCTAGAATGTCCACAAGAAGAAAACACGCTATTCATAACCTCTCGCTTTACTCGACCTTTTCATGCGAAACTTATCCCGTTGTTGCTTACTCTGAAACTGCACTACTAATCAAAGTCGCTCTTCCTTGAGAACTACGTTTCGTTAAATCAAAGAAATAATGTACCACAACCAACAACCACCCTGAAGTGAAGTTAATGTTTAATATAAATTATAGTCTAAGACAGGGTAGTTAAATATTTGTGGTAGATGTTGCTATTCAGTTTTATACTTTCCTTTTGATTTTTTATTTGTTGGTTTGGCCCGGCATAGCCAGGTATTAGGGGCGCTTGACTCGCAAACTGAGGGTCGTGGGTTCGAATCCCCGTTCCATCAAACATGCTCGCCCTTTCAGCCGTGGGAGCGTTATAATGTGACGATCAATCCCACTATTCGTTGGTAAAAAGAGTAGCCCAAGAGTTGGCGGTGGGTGGTGATGACTAGCTGCCTTCCCTCGAGTCTTTCACTGCTAAATTAGGGACAGCTAGCGCAGATAGCCCTCCTGTAGCTTTGTGCGAAATTCAAATAAAAAAATGTAAATTTTTAAACGTAAGTGTACACAATGGGCTATGGGCGCTATGCCCACCGCAGATATCGAACCCTGATTTTATCGTTATGAGCCATGAAGCTTACCGCCGAGTCACCATAAGAGGGGTCTTCGTTCTTATATTTGGTGTTTTATATAATTTCTAAATATTGAATAACAGTACACTGTAATAGCACAAAACAGAAACTATGAATAATGACTTACTGCACACACGTCTTAGCAAAATACTCGTTCATTGATAGCTTTTCATTACGTTTCGTACAAACGTCATTCGTCAGGCTTGGATATAACAGTAAACAAAGTTCATAGGCTTATAACATAAGTACTAGTATTTGTATTAGGTAATTTATTTTAATTATCACCACGTTAACTTAGTTTTAGTCTTGTACCTGTAGGAGGATCAGGAAATTGTGCCGAAAGCTTGTGTATCAAAAAAACTAAAATAACCTGGTGATACATTACTGGATACAAATAAATAGTTTTCTGTTCGGATACAAGTGCCGTAAATTTTTATTTTGTGCTGGTTGATTTCCATGTCTCATGGTGCTTGTTATAACAGTACACTTTTTCTGTGTTTCCTTCGGTTGTAACTGGTGATTTTCGACCTGGGAGTGGAAAATATTTCAACCCGGTACAAGAATTAAGTGTCAATAAAAGTCTTGTTGCTTTTAAAGTGATTTGATCGAATGAACCTCGCCGCCATCTTTTTTCTCTTTTTATCTGAGGTTTAACAGTTTTGTTAATGGTTTTTTTTTTTATTAAAGCTTATTCAAATTGAAACATTTGCAGGTCGAGTTTTGCTATTTGATAAACACATATTCTGTCGGTACGTGTGTTTGAAAATATGGGTTGTTCTTTTAAAGATTTATATTCTAGAAATCTCCTACACTTTGTAGTCATATTAAACCAAAAATTCAACTTCACGTGTTCAATAAATCACAAAAAAGGAACCACGCATTCCATAAATGTAAAAGTGAAGCATTTCATCACAAAATCCCAAGAAAATGGAGAAATTAAATGTTTAATTATATACAATTGTTAATATATGTACCAGTATATTTTGTCTTGTCTGTTTGTAATTAAGCACAAAGCTATACAATGAGCTATCTGTGCTCTGCCCACCACGGGTATTGAAACCCGGTTTCTAGCGTTATAAGTCCGCAGACATACCGCTGTGCCACTGCCAGATACAAATAATTGTAATTATGTTATGATGCATTTTCTATAAATAAATAAATATATAATGATTCATTAAAGTTATTTATGTTTTACAGTTCCTTGTATATTTAGTAACTTGTAAAATAATGCATATATATATATGTATATATATATATCAAGGTGTAAAATTATATTTTTATGTACGGAAAAATAAACTTTCCAAGTGTGGATTGCATAAAAAATTTCAGAATGTTTTTTACTAACGTAATAATTTTTGGTTATATTTTATTGTTGGTAGCAAGTCCCAACCACTGTCCTTCTGTAAGTAACTTTTTAATCTAAGATCCACAACTTGTTATATTTTATTATTGGTAGCGAAGTCCCAACCACTGTCCTTCTATAAGTAACTTTTTAATCTAAGATCCACAACT